TTCTACAAATTGACCTGTGAAAAATGTACCCCTCTTTGCCCTTTTGCAAAACCAAATTGTAGAGAGAAAAAACCGATTTGGTAAACAGATTGATATCATGGCAACCGAAACAGCAATAGAAGTTCCAGCGGCGGAGGCGGCGGAGAAGCAGCCGCACAAACTGGAGAGGAAGTGGACGTTCTGGTATAATAACCTATCAAAAGTGAAACAGCCCGCCGACTGGGATAAGAATCTTCGCAAAGTCTACACTTTCGACACTGTCGAAGAATTCTGGTGGTACGAATACATCCGGTTCTGTATGTGTATATATATATAGTGTGTGATTTATATGGATTTAAATTATTTGCGATATCAATACTTTTTTTGAGCGTAGAATCCTATTTCTTTTTAAGATCTTTATAAAGTTTCTCTGTTTCAGTGTTCTCGTATCGTGTCGTGTGTGATTATTGTTGATTTCTTTACTCGTGTTATCATCTCTATTTGTTTTTCCTTTCACTACCTGTATATGAGCTTGTTTTTGCTTATTAAGGCTGTGCTGTGTCTGGTTTGCCATCGGTGGAATCAAATTCAGGTTACCTTGTCCTGGAATGAAAATCAGAATTCAAATACAGCCTTCTCATGTTTGCTCCCACTAGGAATAGGTATCAGAATTGAGAAGGACATGCTTTATTTATTTCTTATAATAACCCTCCTTAAAGGTTATATTAAAGTGAAAAATAGTTACCTGTTTGTTATTCATTTAAAAGGCCTTTTAGGTCAAATGTTCAATTTAACCTTATTAAAAAAAATAGCCTTATATCTGTTCTTGATATTTTTCTTGATCCTTGAAGCTCCGTCCAATGGTTGAGTTTTTATGAGGAAAAAATGGTGGATACAGTGCCAGAAACTGACAGTGAAGGTAGAGAAGATAACTGAGTTCCAAGTTTCTCCCATTCTCTATTCATGAAAGATGGTGCCAATAGAAAAAACAATTTAAAAGGAAGCAAGACATTTTTGAATTATAATATTTTAATAGTGTTTGTAAGAAAAAATGTGAAGAAAGGCCATTCTTCGTTTTCTCTCTCCCAACATGGCCTTTTTTGCAAATTTCCTCATTTGAAAAGTGTTCTTTTGGTTATAACTTTGCTAAAATACCCAAGAATACTCCTCGATTCCTATTCAGGTTAACGGCCATTGAGTTCATTTCTCAGTCCAACTCAACCATCTTCATCTCTGTCCAACTTGACCTCAATTGAGACCCATCTACAGAGATAAGAATTACCGAAGTTCCAAACTTGGCCCTCTTGAGATCTACTCATCGCAATTCAAGAGTGCGCAATTGGCACAATTGGGGTTGAGCTCAATTGTCTGTATGACTTGACTTTCGAATTCCTCTAATGTAGTTGGTCTTATTCCTTTCGGTGCTTATAATGGTCTCTAGGAGCCATAAGTTCCAATACCTTACATATTGCATCACATGACCTCAAGGGCACATGTCTTGACATATACTCAACCCTAGGGAGTTTTTGTGCTTCATTGGTTATGAATCTAATCTTTGCCCACTTTTTGCTGCACTTGATGCATGATGCAATAGTTTCTACTAGGGGACACTTGAGTGGTTGCTTAATTGGTCAGGTTTTGGGTTTGCTCCCAATGATCATCGGTTTGAGTCCCCTCAGAAGTACACGGCCGTAAACTTTAGGGTCCCGTGGGATTAGTCGAGGTGCCTCGCAAGCTGGCCCGAACATCCACGGTTATAAAAAAAAAAAATGTGATAATTTTATGTCAATTGTCAGCCTACTACAACTCTCTCATTTTATTAGGATATTTGACATGCGTGAAGAAATATAAGTGGAGTTTTTGGATATCTAAATCAATTAATGTAGAGTGTTAGTTATGTTTGTTTGAAGAAGCTACTTCTTGAAAAAAAAAAAAAAATTGTTTCAAGAAGCTCCCAACACTTATGCCTTGAGGGTCACCTCAAGTGCCTCAAAGTTTACATTTCGGTCACATTTATAATATCTTACATTTACGGAATGGAGAAGTAATAAGAGTTAGAAGGTGGATTTGTTGGCAGTCCATTTAGACTTATGATGGCAATCCTCAAGGCTACTCCTTCGGGCAGCCAAGTGTGCGCTAGTTTGTCTTGCCGTGGACATTTTTGCTGGCCTCAACTTTTGTGCTGTTATTTGTTTTGTATGTAATGGTTTTGTCTTTGCTATTTTAAACAGAAACAAGCTCTAAAAACTTTTAAAAAAAATGAATCAGTGAATATTGAGGAGAGCAACTGATGTAGGTGTGCTCTAGCCTATACAATTGAACTGTGATAAACCCTTCTACCATATGAAGCTGCAACTTCTGAGTTGCATATGGCCTGTGATGGAGAAGTATGACACATCTTTTCATTTCACCTCCCCCCTCTTTTTTTTTTTTTTTCCATTTTTTTGTTGCATATGTGCTTTTTGTTTCTTTTTCGTTTAAATTCAAAACAAAAATATTTCTTGATTATCTGGTCTGTTTTATTTTGAAAAATATATTATTTGCTATTTTTTTTAATTAATTTTTAGATAGTTAATGGTTATTATGCATATGATTTTGTAGAGTTTTGAGTTATTTTATTTTTTTAAAGCTGAGACTTACGACTTAAATTGCATTAAGACTTATGCCTTACCTCACCTAGATGAAAATGCCTTGATACCAAATTTAGCCTTTCAAAACACCATTAAAATTATAACTTCTATTGCTGTATATAGACGAGTGACTCATTTATTGATTCAAGTTCTAGATAATATTAATTGTGATAACTTTGATTTATGCAATACAAGGTTTTTCCATGTCTAGCCTGGGGTTTAATCGTAAAAAGGAACATACCTACTGTTTAAAGAAACTATTTGATGCTTACACCTCGAATCCCTCCTTACTAGAGGCTTTCATAAAATGCCTCGAACCCCCCCCCCCCCCCCC